TGTGTGTGTGTGTCTGTGAGTATATATATATATATATAACTATATATATATATATATACTGAACCCACCAAGTCCAAACATCAACAATCAGAGCTTCCCAGGCGCAGCTCTGAACCCCTAAACCACTGAACCACCCCACCGCCCCCACCTCCCCACAGAGGGAAAACTCTCTAAACCCAAAGCTTACAAACTCCCCCCCCCAAAAAAAGCACCGATAGTGGGCATATTTTCGGGTTTAGGAGTTTAGGGTTTAGGGTTTAGCACACCCAAACAATAAGCCCCCAACCCGACCTTTAAACCCTAAACCCCGAACCCTGACCCTAAATCCGCAACCCTAAAACCCAAACCCTAAACCCTGAATCCGAAACGCAAAAGCCCGAAACCCTAAACCCTTTTTTCAGGAGGGGCTGAGGTGCCGGCCAACCCTAAACCCCAAACCCGAACCCCCAACCCTAAACCCTAAATCCGAAACCCTAAAGTTAAGGGGTTTAGGGCTTAGGGCCTAAACCCCAAAACCCTAAAAAACCTAAAGCCCTCAACCGCGACCATGGGTGCTCGCGAGGAGCCGGTCTCTTCCAGGTTTGGTCGAAGGAGGTGCCTCCACCCTTTGCCACGGAGCTGGGCCCGCCTGTTGCGTTTCTGGTCCCGTTTAAAGTTTAGGGGTTAGGGTTTAGGTGACTCATAATTTAAGGCTTTTGGGCCTTAAAGACCCTATTATAAAAGGCTTTTGGCCTAGTTTGATGCTAAGGGTTTGTTTTGCCTGTCTCTGTGCATGCATGGATGGATGTGTGCTTAGGTGTATGTGTGTGTGTACGTCTATGTGCATACGTTACGTATGCTTTGCTTGGGATAAAGTATAAAGTCTCGCTTGAAAGGGCGGGATTCCCATGGTTTCTTCTGCGCCAAGCGTTTGGTGTAAAGAGCACCAGCACTTGAACGTTTGGTGTTGAGGGCTCTCTTATGTTGGGTTCGGGTAAAGACTCACAAGGCTTACTAAACCCTCAACCCTAAACCCTAAACCCCTAAACCCTAACACCCTAAACCCTAACACCCTGAACCCTAACACACTGACACCCTAAACCCTAAACCCTAAACCGAAAAGTGGATTTCGGGAATGTAGAGCAGTCCCAACCTTCCGGGTGCAGGGTTTAGGATGGAGAGTTGGGAGTTTAGTTCAAGGAAACTACAGCTGGAGAGTTTAGGGTATATAGGGCTTCTATAAGGCTTCCATAAGGTATATAGACCTGCTATAAGGCTCCTATAATGGTAACTCCCCACCTGAAAATGTCCTAGTTTAGGATGGGGAGTTGGGAGTTTAGTTGGAGTCAGGCCGCCGAATGCTATGGGTTCCATGCTGAATCAAACCATGAAGATTCTTGGGCCACCTGGACCCTAAACCCCAAACCTTAAATCCTAAACCTTAAACCCCTAAACCCCTAGACCCTACCCCCCCTAAACCCCAAAACCCTAAACCCAAAGCCCCGAACCCCGCCCCAGACAATTCAAAGCCATCGAAGGCTCATGCCGCCTCGGGTGTGGGTTCCGGTGTAGGTGCTCCTGTCATAGAAGAATCCTCAACGAGACGGTGTTTAGGGTTTAGGGTTTGGGGTTTAGGGTTAGGGTCTAGGGTTTAGGGTCTAGGGTTTGGGGTTTAGGGTTTTGGGTTTAGAGGTTTAGGGTTTAGGGTTTGGGGTTTAGGGTTTTGGGTTTTGGGTCCAAGGCTTTGGGTTCTACAGGAGTTGGGGCATCTAAGGTCAGGGGTTAGCACTTTGAGGATGTAGGTCTTCCGGTGTTTGAAGGCTGGTTCTCGTCGTTATGTTGCTTCGGGACTCCATGGATTTGCCCGGGGCACAGCTGCCATGCTTGCAGCCACGCCAACAACAACCTCCTCTATTGAACTATGTCTATATTCTGAAGACATACACGCCCATGTGCATGCATGCACACAAGCATGAATGCATGCCTACATACATAGATACACGCGCTCTCATACATGCACATGTATGCAGCATATACATTAAAAAACAATTACACAAATTGTGTGTATATGTATACCCAGTTCAAACCTCGCAGATCTTAAGCGCGCTTTCGGCTTACTGCTTTTGCAAGAGCCTGCTTGCGAATCAGGTTTTAGGCTTCAGGGTTTAGGCCGTTACTAAGGTCTTACTAGGCCCGAACTCCTTGATAAAGTGCTTATGATGATTTCGTGCAGGGTTTCTATCGGGTAATTATGAACCGAAGCTCTCCATCTACAGTACAGAAAAACATCACTTAGTGTACACAATCTGCATAGGTAGCTTCGTAATGCACAGAAGAAACCCCGAACACTGGACCGCAGTAAATGCCAACGCTTAGGCGTCCTTCTTCCTTGAATAAACCACGAACACAGCCATGAAACCACAAAGACACTAATCATGTTAATCCGGCACGAACCCTAGAACAGACACCCTAAACCCCCCTCATGAGCCGTTGAACCAAAATCCCGCAAGCCTGACTTCGCATCAAATGCTAAACCCAAGGCCCTAAGCCCCGAAAAGCCCTTGGACCCTAGGGCCTAAACCCTTGGTTATAACTCGCAAACCCAAAACCTGGGCCTCAACCCTACACACCAAGACCGAACAAACACCGTTTTGACCATCCAGTAGGCCCTTGTAAACCCTGTAATGTTAGACCCATTTCAGCAGGACTTGAAACCCGAAACCCCCTTCAGCCTCATAGAAGCTTCTGAAACCTTGCGCAAATCCAGTAAACAACCCGAAAAGCCGAGCCCCAACCCTAAACCCCCAATAATTGAAAAACACATTTATACAATAGACTCCGTATAAACCTGCACCCTTAAACCCCGACCTGCCTAAATCTAAACCCCCTGTTTACACAGATTAAACCCTAAACCCTTAAAACTAAAGCCCTAAACACTAAACCCGAAAAGCCCTAAACCCTTAAAGCTAAACCCCTAAGCCCCTACACTCCGAAGACCCTATCTTCGCCCGGCGTCGCTCGGGTCCGACAAGGCGACCGGCACCCGGGCCCCGGGATCCTGGCCGCCCTGGCTGCGCTCTTTTCGGTCTTACATGGGAGTTTCCGTAGATTAGGGTACCTTAATCTGGGGTCCTTATAACAAGGATCCTATTATTTGGGGTACTATTAGGGTCCCCTATTTTCGGAAACCCCCACATGAGTGCTTGTTAAGCGGGAGTATTTATATGTGTATATATATATATATATATATATATAATGTGAATTGGGCTTTGGGTTTAGGGCTTAGGGTTTATGGGAATGTGTATATATATATATATACACCTCATATCATATATATATATATATATATATATATATGTGTGTGTGTGTGTTGGTGTAAAGATTATAAATAGATAGCTCTACCATGTTCTAACAGCATGATGCTTTACTTCAGGCTTCAGGGTTCCAGGGTTCAGAACCCAGCCAGGAGTTCACGGCTTGGGGATCAGGGCTCACGTGGATACCCACACAGCTACCTTCCATCCCACCAGGATCTTCCATGTCCTGATCGGCCCGTGTGCTTCTCACGATGCGGCCCTAACCTGGGGCCCTACATAGCCCACGGTGGGTCTTGCTGTCTAGAGATAGATACAGCAACATATGGGTAGTTGTCAAAATTATGGTCCCTTTTGGGGTACCCTAAATAATAGGTGCCGTAATATAATAAGGACCCAGAAAAGGACCCTAATTTTGACAACCACCCATATGCATCGGAGCGACAAGGCTTCAATTGGCACTCCGCAGTCTTCAGGACGGCAAACCCAACGCTCCCTGTAGCTAGTGCAGACCCGAGACCAAGTATGCTAGACCTTCAATCCTGTAGAACTCCAGGCATTGAGGCCCTATAACTCTAAGCTTCAGACCCGCCCTATGCCCGATGTTGCTGAAACTCAAGCATACACCTTACAGGTACCAATAATACACCAGAGAGCCCGCGGGCTCTTTAACACTCGCACACGAACATGTCAGCCGAGGTTTCGGGAGGGACCTTGTTGCCTTCAAGCACCGTCTACGCAAACGGCAAACGTCCCCAAATAAACTCTGAACACCAAACCCAAACTCCACAATCGCGACACCAGGGCGCTGATAAAACTCATAGGCATCAACAAAGGAGCCTTTAACAACCCCAATCCCTTTTGAAACCCTTCTACATCCGTTGCACATCCCTCAAAGGAGCCCAAAACCCTCAACCCGAATCCCTAAACCCTAACATTATGTCCGACCCAATAGTGCGATCTGAGTAGAGTTAGCACAAGAGCCGGACATAACCCTAATACCATAGTCGCATCCAGGCTCGAGCACTCGGCCGGGAAAGTTACATAGGCAAGTATAAAAAATCTAAAATCGTCTAACCCTGAGCCCTAACCTCCTAAACCATAAACCCATAAATCCTAAAGCCTTTTTACA